CTTTTTACTGAATCAACATATGACGGTGTACACCGCGTTAAGGATCTATCACCGGCCCCAGAGGGAGCAAATGGTACGCCATCACGCCAGGCACCTACCCGCCTATTTCCATACACATACGGCTACCCTTTGGCTCGACGCAGGTTCCTCTCATTCAACAGGAGGCAAAGGGGAAGACCCCGGCCGGCACCTGCGAGCCAAACTTGGGTCATGCAAATACCTGCACGCGATGAATAAAAAAAGGCACGAGAGAGGGTCCCGTGGGGAAAGGGTTCAGTACTTTATTCAGATTAGGGTCCCGGACTACTATGGTGTTTGAACACCCCTTTCGTGAGGCCACTCGAGCCTCTCGATTTTCGGCAAGTGCCTCGACCCTCCGGCACGCGTGTCGTACATAAATACGAATTGACTTCTTTACCAACCCTTTATGCACCTGAGATCGAACGTTATATGTAAATGTCGGACAGGATCGTAAATATCTTAAACGAACAATTAACGATGCAACAGTCAGTAATCTAGTTAATTGGTAGTCAAAGAGTTACAATAATGATAGTGGAAGAAAAGTGTTATTTTATATTTTTTCTAGAAGGAACACACATAAATTACTATACTCCACAAGCCTTTCATATATACATATTTCACACTCAACTTGATATTCAATCTCTACAGTTCACCCTAATTAACAATCACATCCTTCCCCGTGAAACAACTTGAAACACGCTAAAGGTTCATCGAATAAGAATCGTCGATGTAGCCACGCGTGCCCATAAACCTTCGGGTGCCCGTGTCCCGGAATCAGAGCGCGTAGATATTATTCGCGCCTGTTCGTGAATTCGCGTCGGTAGGGGCGTCATTAAAATCAATACCGGGCTCTCTCTCCGTTCCATCTCCCTCGCCGCCCCTCGCGCTCCGACGCGGCACGTCCCGCTCTCGTCTTCATCCCTCGGACGCTATTCATCCTCGTCGCACGACGTGACTCTCTGTGTATGCGTGTCTATGTGCGAGGGTGGTAAAAGAGACAGACGGAGACAGAGAGACAGAGAAAGAACGAGAGAGAAGAAAAGAGAGAGAGATGGTTGGTTAGGGGGATGCTCGCGTTTCTAGACTGACGTGGGAGTCGTGAGACGCTTGGTGGGGTCGTCGTCGAAGGAGGAGTAGACGAAAGAGTAAGTGAAACGCGAAAAGAAAGAGGGTTACAGAAGGGAGAACGGTGCGCACGGGCGAGAGGGGATGGAAATTGCGATAAGAGGAAGGGTGCCCCGTTCGCAAGGTTAGGTAGCCGGTACACGCGATAAGGAGTGGGGGGGTGGCGTTCCCATGGCCAATAAGAACCTCTTTAAAGCGCCCTTTTTGCGCGCGGAACTGCGCATGCCGGATTCAAATCTGCTGGAGCCGGGTATCGAGTGGCGGCCCGGTGGTGGTGGTGGAAATGGGGGTGGTGGTAGCGGGGGTGGTGGCAGTGGTGGTGGGCCGCTGGCTGTATGGAAATATGATAGCGCGATAAAAAGAGGAAGAATGGCAGGGATGCTTGTGTACGCGAGGGTGAAAGCGTGGGTGGGGATACTGAACGACTGCTACGGACCAATAAAGGCCCAGTTTAAAACGCCTCGGTTTTCTTTTTTTGCATCGCCACTGCGCATGCCGCATTCAAATGTTGGGGAGTGGTGGTCACGATGGATCTGTGTGTATGGAAATATGATAGGTGAGACGACGGGCTGCTATTGGAGAAATGGCGACCGTAATGGAACTCGCCGTATATTTTTCTGTTTCACGAGCTCGAGACAGGGGTGGTGGCGTTTTCGAAAGAATGGCGTATGAAATGAATTCCGGGATATTTCCACGCTGCTCGATCTTCTTTCTATAGGCGATTCCTTGAGCATACCTTTCGGTAGCAAGATCGAATGCGAAAGAAATCATCATCGTTTTTCGATTCTATCGATGGATGAATGGTTCTATTCGTGCTGTTACGACACCGTTAAGAGACGGTTTCTGATATATTTAAAAAAAAAGTATTCTGATTATCGTCGTCGATTGCGTCTGAATGAATTCACCGATACGACCGGGGGATCGTGTTCGCAACGATTCCATTGTTCGAGAGATCATTCACCCGGGCGGTTTTAACCTGCAAAAGTACCCACCTGCTGTTCGCCGGGAATCCATCGGACCGTAGAGCATCGGCCCAGGTATCACGATCTTCGAGACACAACAGAACTATATCGATGCGTAGACACAAACTCGAATGGTTCACATTTTACTAGAGAAGAATTTAACTACCGACGGACAATTGCTAGAGTGTACTACTCGCGTTTAAAGTCAATGATCGATTACGCATAACCAGACACAAAACATGGTTTTAGTTACGATCGAACACTGTTTTTGTATCACCGATAAGAATTATATTACACTTTTCAGAAAATGTTTGGACCAACGTATATCACCTTTCGACCGACAAGTACGCACATCGGTAATAAACTGATATGACCCGCTTTGCGAAACTAATAATATACCTGGCTATAAATACCTTCTCCCTCCACTTTACATGCCCCAAAACTCGTTTTCTTTTCTGCATCGAAACTGGTATGTTTTTACCACGAAATATTTAAGGGGTGGAACACCTCTTCAACGACCTTTTGCCAAACTCTGTTTATATCTGGTAGTGGTACAATGGACCTTTGGTCAGAAACACCTCCGTGGTGTACGTTTGTTATGAAACGAATTTTCACCTCGTCGGAACAGTAATCAATGGATTTTACGTGAAGGACTGCATGTTATACTTGAACGTACTGACTGGTAAATTGTCTTCAAGAATTCTTCGATGACTCTAGTATGAATCAATTCTGAATCACGTAAGGTGCCAACCCCTACTCTACACGAAAAACTACACCATTGATTCTCCTATTTCCAAAAACCCCAAAACATACCAATAACATCGCCAAATGGAGCAAAGCTACCTCTAACCACCGTTTCACCCTCCATTTTACATTCAAAGATCCCAACCAATAATCGACTTTCCCAATGTCGTCACATCCGCCAGCCAGCCACGTACACACACACACACGCAACGTCATGATTTCCCTAAAACCCCTAATCCCTAGTCGCGGCAATCAATAGGAGGGGATAAGGGACCAGCGATTGGCCGGTTGTCCCGCATATGCAAATGCAAACTCACCTTCTCTCTCTCCCTCTGTCCCGCGTCGGTGGCATCCGTTGCAGGCGGTTTAGTAGCCGGTACACGCGATGTAAAAAGGCGCGTTCGCGCGCTCGCGAGCCGAGAACTCGCCTTTCCTCGCCGGGCGGAGCCGCGCGTGATCCGCGTTCCTTCGCGATTGGAGCTTTCATTCCCCACCGACGCCGCTCGATTCCCCACCAGTGAAGCCGTGCGTCCAGGCGTTCGTCCGCTGCTCTCCCGTTCCTGCTTTGTCCGTCCTCGTCGCACCCGGTTACTCGCGGCCAGGTCCGTGGCCTGGCTGTTTCTCCCTCTCTCTCTCTCTCTCTTCGTTCCTCGGAACCGACGACTCCCCCACTCGTCGCGCCTCGGGTCCGCGCCGTACGCGTCCGCGTTCACCGTGGCCGGTAGGCGGCCGACCGGGCGTACGTGGGCCCTCTAGTGTAGCTGCACACATGCACGCGACAGCATCTGACTGCTGTACCAGCCGCCGTCGCCGCAGCCGTAGCTGCCACCGTCGTAGCTCGTCGCGGATGCTCGTGTGCCGTCTGCGATAACGATACTACTATCAACAACAAATCTCCCGCTCCGACGACGAAATTCCATATCCGCACATACGACGTGTTGGAAACCACGCTCTTTCGCGCGGATCCTATGCACATCGAAAACGAAACGGTACCGCACGTGTGCAGAACCGTTCGCCGCATCCGTACTCAGTGACACAGTAGAATCACCTTTCAACACAGTGTGAAGACATACCCCGCACAGTGGTTTTGTTGTTCTGTGACAGTTCCCCGGTGTGTACGATCCTCTGGTGATTTTTTGACAGTTCCGCGCCCAGGGAACATGGTAACGCGCGCGAATGTGATTCACGGAACGGCTCGCGAGTTCATCGATGGTTCGCCGTACGTCCGATGATAGGTTAGGTACAACACTTGGACAGGATCGGTCGAGTGATTTCACGCGGCGATCACTTCGGAAAACACTTTTGGCGGGACAAGAAAAACGCGCGCGAGTGAATGCACAGAGAGATGGTCGACGGAATAGTCGCCGTTGATGGTATTTAAACGTGTGCTGTGTGTGAGACAGGTGAATCTCTGACGGAAGTACGGCGCAAGGAACTGGTGTGCGATTGTCTCGTCGATACAGGGTCTATCGAGGTGTTCGCAACTAACTGTATATGTATCTAATCGAAGTGTTCGATCGAGGAATCGAAGAAGGGTGGTGACTAGAGGGACCCCGGTGACCGTGTCAGAACTGGGATACGATCGTGTAGAAAGATATGTATATCTGTGCGCGTTATTAGTGTAGTGTGTTGATGAGTATTCTGTGTTACCGAAGGATAGCAAACGGCGACAGGATCATTTATATAAACAAACACGGTCTTCGCTGGCACATGCAACCTTCTTGTTGCCCGGGTGTACAAAGTATAACGGAAATCAAAGACGACCGATACCTTCTGTGGTCGCAATAAACAAGGATTCTTTTTTCTGCGACCCACGCGAGGAGAATAGGTTAGGTTCCAGGATAAAGGGACGCAGCAGGCGACCACATTGGATCTCGCGGCGTTGGCTGCTTACGGGGGCGTTTCGGGACCCAGGGTCGCGGTGGCGGGCACCGGGGTCCTCGCGCTACCCGGCTTGATACCCGACAAGGGTTTATCATCGCCCGGAGGTCAGTCGAAAGGAAAGTCCGCAGGGCTGGCGGGTCTCGACAGCGAGGCGGTGCGCCGGTGGGTCGCCGAGGCCACGCGGACCGTCCGGCAGATTCCGCCTCCGGTTGTCGTACCATCTAGTTCCCATCACCATCATCATCAACAACAACAGCACCAACATCGACAGCAACATCATCATTCCAGCCATCGACAGCGTCAGGAGCCCAGCCCACCCTTGGTGGGAGTCTCCCCTTTCGCTTTGCCGGCGTCGATGACGCAGACACCCAGTATGCATCTGCTGGAGAACAACAACCTGGTGGAGGTTGCGATGGCTCAACAACAACAGTCTCAACAGCAGATGCAGCAACAACAGAAGCAGAAACAGACCAGTCCAACGAACAACAATACCATAGAAGCCTGGAGATCGATTCAGGGTGGACACCAATGGTGGAGCCCGCCCAGTAGCGTGCATCAGGATCAGCAGCAAGTGTCTCCTATCGGGCAAGTCAGCCAACCGCAAAGTTTAATAGCTGCCGCGGTATGCGGACAGACCCAGAGACAGTCGCAGATCCATTCGGAGATCGATCAGCCCCTTGACTTTTCCGTTGGCTCGCTCCAACAACAAAGGCTGCACTCTAGAGTGAGGACTATCCACGAGAGGCTTCAGAGTCGGATGCACGATAACAACAACGGCACCGGCGGACCCGAGAAGAACGTACGGAGGACCGGAAGCAGGCGAAGTTACAGTCCAAGCGAGGGTAGCAGCAGCAGCAGCGAGGACGAAGGAGTCTCCACTGGTGGCAGTCCTTCTGGACCACTTCGAGGCACCGAAAACGGTGAGTTCTGTCAGAGACAGTTTCTTCTTTATCGCTCCTATTATTCACTGTTTCCGTGGAACCCGCGCCATATCATTGTGACGAGCATGCACGACGATAAGTTTTGGTGACGCAACGTATTGTAAAATCTTGCGCGGATTAAACATGCCAGCAGGTGAAGTCGTAATTATTTAGTCAGAATTTCGGTTTGTTGTTCAGTCGCGTAGCTCGAGTTATCGGTTAACGTGCTGTCGGAACGATTGAGAGATCGCCTATGCACATAGATTTAGGAACGAATGATAACGACGATACGCGAAGAGACATTTAATTCCAAAATACTGCACGGGTTACAAGTTACTCCAATACAGAATACAGGGTATATTATGTATCGTTTATGACTCCTCGATTCTCTGGAAGCAGGAAACCATTTGGTTGGATGATTCTTTTCTGGCGATAAGGTCGTGGCTGAGAATCGATGGCTGAGAAACACTAATTTCGCATATAAATTTTTAAATCCAGAAGAAAATAGATTACCTTCCTTTTCTCGGTAATCTTCAGCCAATCATTTTTCTTCGCTATTATCAACGATTAATTAATTACGCTATACCTCCTTGCGACGACAATTTCTTCGAAGTAGTCCCCACCTTCAGCGATAGAGTATCTATTTCTATATTTTATTACAATGATCGCGAGGATGATTCAGACACATCGATTTCATCATTTCCCTCAATAGTTTTAACGTGACATGCACTCTGAAACCGACTAAGCACCTATGTACACATTAAATCCTTTGATTACAATTCTTTTTTAGTAATCTCTGACTTCAGCGATAAAATACATAAATCAGTCAACGTTATTTTCGTTTTTATATAGTATTACTAATACAGAACAAGATAGAGCGTATTTTTTTTCATTCCCTGAGTCGATTATTTTTCAGAATACGCGTGAAATTCTCACAATCTCAATTCAACTAATTAACCCACCTTTCGGCAGTCTTATTGTTAGTGAATCAGTCTTTCGCCGCATTTACAGAACACATTAAGTGTCAATTATTCTATTTGACGTTTACATAAGAGTGTTACAATAGCTTCTGTCATCAATTCCGAAACATTTTTCGTTGCTACAACTTAACACGTTACCTACCTCTTCAGGGACAATTTATTAAGACTCTATTCCATAATAAACAAATAATTAATACTATAAATAAAATTAGACAGTTGTACACAGTATTGATCAATATATTGTAAAATCATCGTACAACCGAGCTGCGGCAACATCGATCTCGAAAATTCCATGACTCACAGTCAGTCGACGCGTGTAACCAAAGGGGTTGGCAAGGCCTTTTAACCGACCTCTCTCGTTTTATCGGAAAGTTGGTTCAGCAACGAAACCGGAGATCGTAGAAACAAACGAAACGTGTGCGTCATGCCAGCCGCCTATTTGTCCGCACGGGGGAAACATGAAACGATCATCCCCGTGTGCATTTTGGGGGAAAACCGTGTTCGATCCGTCGTCAGCTGTCAATGCGCCGCGGCGGCCTGGACGCGAGCGTCCCTCCGCGTGGCTCGACACCCCCGCACAACCTTGCCGTGTGTGTCTTTGTTGTCCCGGAATGGTTGCATTGTGTGCATTCGTTCCATTGTTGAAACACGCGTGTGCAGCCCTCGGGACTCCGCGAGAAACGACGACGACGGCAATTCTCTACCTGAAACGCTCGCGACCGGGTTTCCTCGGTCTTTCGATCCTTAACGCGGCCGTTTCTATACGCAAAACTCATGCCAATTCTAGCGATGCGTAGGTAACCTATACGACGATAGTAAGGCCGGAATTCCCTTTTTCAGACGATTCGTTTCGTTTCGCTCCGCGTTCCTCTGTCCTGGATCTCTACGCAACCGATCCTCAGGCTGCGATAAGGGGGAAATTCCTCGAGTGGATAAATTCGTGCAACGTTTCGTTATGCAAACGCGCGCGAGCCAAAGAAATTTGTAGGTACACACCGCTCGAACAGAGGAATTAGTCCATTTAAGGGAATAAGAAATTTACACTAAAGGGAGGGGACAGCGTGTGCCAGCCCGGAAAATGTAACCGGTCCCCTTTTTATCCGCGGTTACAGAGTCACGGAAAGCATTTTCCATATAGTGGAACTGGTGTTCTTCTGTCGTTATCGGGACACTGATAACAAGATTTCTTTAATGGGAATACGGCTGACTATTCGTTAATTGAGCGCCGCTCTTGGCGATCCGTTTATCGAAAAGAATCTGTATCGTATCTGCGTTGAGAGCCGATCAAAGTGTGTCAGTAATCGGCGCGTTATTAACATCGTTGAGTCACATTTCGGACCCAGATTTCGGTAGTTTTTTTTTTGATATTGAGGAACTTAAAGTTACTACTATAAATTTCTATGATTAGATATATTTAATAAGTCCTCCATTTTTATGGAACTACAATTGTTCTAATACTAGGTTGAGGGATTCTGTCACATACATGTGCATTACGCGAATCTGAAGGTTCGACAAGGTTATCGGTATCAATGCAATTCAGCGTTCAATTAAATCTAACAAAGTAATTCCAAATCTTCACGCAATATCTCATTTATTATGTGGTTTGAAAAATATTCTAATAGGATAACACTTCGAGGTAATGCATGTATGTGTTGTTACTATGATTTATCTTCGAATTTCTGTGTTCTCTACACTTTCCCTTGAACGTGATCGAAAATGACAGCGTACATTAAGAATTTCCTATATGATATTTCCTGAACTCCTAGGTTCTCTATAAAGAAATGTTGCTCCTTGAAATATCTTGACAATCGAGAACCATAAACTACGTCCAAGGTCTTGTATCGAGGTTTCTATAACCGATCACGGTTGAGACTCAAATGCATTGTGTACAAGGCACAAGGCTCCAAAAGAAGGTTGGAAAAAAAAATATTTTTAATTCGTTCGACTCGCACGTGCCATGAATCCCGAGCACGTGGACTGGCACGCAACCGTCGACCACACGATTAAACTATTCGCTTCCGACGTGTTCGTTCGATAAATCGAAGGCATAATCGAGACGATTGAAAAAATCGCCCGAGTATCGGCCGATCGGTCCGTCGTCGCCGTCGCTGCCGAGAAATCGCTGATTATTCCGTAAAGACTAAATATTATTGTATTTATATCTTCCGATGCGTCGAGTTATCTACGGTGTTTATTATCGCGGTGTAAGGTGTGTGAGGACGTCGCGAGCCGCGATACCGCGAAAATAAGAATGATCGTAATTAAAACGATACGTTGCGTCATTATCTGATTCTAAACAGGTGGATCTTTATTAGTTTCAATAAAAGTGCAGTGTAAACATGAGATAAACGTTGATAAGCCTTTTGCGGCTGGCTCGTAATACGTTCCCTCCTTCTCTCTCTCTCTACCTTTCTCGAGGTTGGCGAAAAATAATAATAATAACCTTTTCTTTTGACGCAAATTCCAGTTGAAATGGAATGAAATTGTAATCATTAATCGTCCCGATAAAACGATATACGTTCGACGATAATCCGTTTTGAGTAGTGGACGATAATCGAGGATCTAGGGAAAGCAACCGAAAGAAATTATCTTTGATTTCCGTATTATCGATTTATTCACGATCGTCCCCTTAGGTTGTTCGACGATCGAATCGCTTCGTCGTCAGCGTAAGTACATGTACACGCGTGTTTGCGCGTCGTGGCTACATAATTGCTTTAATATACAAAAATACAACGGCAAATAAAGACTCCTATAGCCGGGACCCGACGGAGGAGAAAAAAAAAAGCTAGCCGATACCGTATCTGTCGATAAGGTCTTAGCTCTAAGGCTTGTTTGAATAAATATTCCACGTAAGCGCGTGATCGCACGGTTATTTTTCGATGAGTAACGCGATACGTTGAAAAATCCATTTTTTTAAAGTGAAATCGTAGAGTGCTCCAGATAATGCTCCGGACTTATATAACGTTAATAAACCCGACTTCGTTTGTTAAAATTTCAACCTGACGTCGCGTTATTATTTACCTGTCACGTTGTTATCGTACGAAACAGTCGTGCGCGGTTCACGTCGAATTTCACTTCATTATTATTCATCAAAATTTTACACCTTCTCGCACTTCTTCGCAGACCTTTCGTAACAAAACACGAGACCAACGAAAAATGTCATCGTGATTATTTAAACACGAGAAACAGCATTCGATCATTAATATTATCAATGCACGTATTCCCATTATTTTTCTAATGAATCTACCACCGTCTAATTTCATCCGTACAATTTTCTCACTTTTTCCGTTTCGCTGTGTATATTTTTTTCATGGGGGTGGGGGAGACAAAAAGGTGGATTACCTTCGTGGCCGTTCGGTTGTCACGTTACGCGCCCAGCGGTATAATTACCCGGCCGAACGAGGACCCTCCCGTCTTTTCGTCGTGCTAATATATGTTCAATATGGGAGAATATAATTAATCCTGGCAAGAAACACGCGCAGGAAGGGCGCGAGCGAGGTCTTATATCGGTGAGATGGCCGATTGCGGTTCTCGAGAAGCCCGAGGACCTGTTCCTCTACCGAGGCCCTCGTGTATTACGGTGTAACGTGATACGCGTTTGATTCTATGTTATTTACGGGCAGGTGGTACCGTGCAACAATGTTTATCACATAATTAGATTCTATGCCCGGGCAATCTCTATCGCGCACCCCGTCAGTAAGCCGCCGCGAATGGCCGTGGCTGGAAACGTCGTTTCGCGAACGCCCGCGCGCACACACACGGGGGATGACCCTTTGCCCGCCACGATAACAATAATTTTCTTCGCCAACGTTCTCCATATTGATTTCATCCAACGACGTTCCTGTACGTGACCATCTTCCCTTTTTCGTTTCATCCAAACTTCACGATTTTTCCTGTACGTACACCTTCTCCCGTTGAATCCCTCTACGTTCTTCTCTACTTTTAGAAACACAATCTTCATTCTCACCTTTTGCTACGGTAGGTTATTTACTAGATTCACTTTAACCGTCGACGAATCAA